CGACTGTGCCTGTCTTAGGTTGTTCCTCCCTTGAGGAATCTTACCCGACTGACAGCTTTATTTTTAAGGTTAGCAGTGGTAATAAGGAAAAAATGAAGCAGGAAAGAAGGATTAGGTATATAATAGGAGAAAGTGTGTTCTATCTTAGGTTAGGTTCAGGAAGGACTCACTGAAGAAGTGAATGTTCGGTTAGAGGCTTGAATAAAGTGAGGAAGTGTAGATACTTGAAGAAATGTGTTTCAGGCATAAGGCATAGTGAAGGTAAAGGCCTTCAGGCCAGAGCATGCCTGCTGGTTTCCAGGAACAATGGAGAGACTGGTGTGGCTGGGGCAGAGGGGGTGTGTGAGAGTGGGAAGTCAGAGGTCAGAGAGAACCATCAAAGGTCACCCCTAGCCACCTTCCAGAGGTGTTCTGTGCATAATCAAGCTATTGTAGGCATGCATGTGTTTAATTTGCATAAATAGTAGTATACTATCCACCTGTTCTATGCCCAATATTTTTTCTCTTAGCAGCATACTTTGAAAATCCATCCCATATTCTTTTTCTTAACAGTTGGTACAGTGTGGATGTACCACACGCTTGTCGGTGGATATTTAGCTTTTTTCTGGGTTATGCTCTCCCAAAGAATGCTGCCAGCCTTTGTGTCACTTGACAGATGGCCTTTATGCCAAGGTACATGTGCCCCATGTCCACCCAACCCCCTGCACTCCAACATGGAGAGTTTTAAGGAAATTCTTTGTCATCTGTGGTCTTCACTTTATTATGTTGAAGTACATACACTCTATACCCATTTTGTTAAGAGTTTTTATCATGAATGGAAAATTTTGTCAAATGCTTTTTTAGTATCTATTGAGATGATCATGTGATTTTTATCCTTTTTGTTAATGTGATCGATTTATGAATATTGTACCATCGTTGCATCCCTGGAAGAACTCCCACGTGGTCATGATGAATGATCTTTTCAATATAGTTTTGAATTTGATCTGCTAATATTTTGTTGAGGATTTTTGCGTCTATATTCATTAGGGATATTGGTGTATAATTTCCTTTTTTTGTGGTGTTCTTGTCTGGTTTTGGTATTAGAGTGATGCTGGCCTCATAGAATGAGTTTGAAAGTATTCCCTCCTCTTCTACTTTTTGGAATACTTTAAGATGGATGGGTATTAGCTCTTCTTTAAACATTTGGTAGAATTTGGCTGTGAAGTCATCTGGACCTGGTGTTTTGCTGTTAGGTAGTTTTTGGATTACCAATTTGATTTCATTGCTGGTAATTGGTCTGTTCAGATTTTGTTTCTCCCTGGGTCAGTCTTGGAAGGTTATATTTTCTTGGAAGTTGTCCATTTCTTCTAGGTTGTCCAATTTATTGGCATATACTTTTTCATAGTATACTCTAATAATTCTTTGTATGTCTGCTGTATCTGTTGTGATTATTACCTCTTCATTTCTGATTCGGCTTATGTATGTACACTCTTTTTTTCTTGATAAGTCTGGCTAGGGTTTATCTAGTTTATTTTCTCAAAGAACCAGCTCCTAGTTTCATTGACTTTTTTTCTATGGAGGGCTTCCAGGAGACAGGAATGGCTCGGAGCTCAAGGGGAAGTGAGCCAGACAGTGGAAAGATGGAGGCACAGGTAACAGCATGTGCAGAGGTCAAGGTGTGAACAGGGGGCACTTACAGGAAGCCGACATGGCTGAGATGGAGACAGTGAGACCTAATGTGATGAGAGAGAGACTGGGCAGCCATCTAGGGACAATGACAGGGCCACATCAACACATTGGGACTTGATCTGGAGGGCAGCAAGGACCCTGTGTCATGGTCACAAAAGAAACCAAGGACAGAAAGGAGTTAATTTACTTTGTATTTTTCAAAGAAACTTAATTTCTGCTCATAAAAGTAACACTTGCTCAGGCAGAAGACCTATCCATGTATGTCCTAGGCTTTTTCCTGTGATGTTGGTGCCCTGTTCTGTACACACACTCCTGGGTACACACCCATCTGGGAAGCTCCCCTGCAGTGCAGCTCCTCTCTTATTGTTTGTCAAGAAGGGGTGATGACCTCACCCTGGCTCTTCCCTTCAGCTCTTGCTTGCAAAGGACAGAAACCTACTCTAATGGGCAGATGCATAAAAGCTTCCAAAGTATACAGCCTTAGGCTCAGCTAGATCCCAGAACTCAGACAATGCCTGGAAGTCACCATCCCATCCCTGGGCCCTGTGATTCTCTGTACTGTCTTCTTTCTTAGGCAAGCACTCTGTTTTGGGGGACAAAATGGCCTCAGTAGCCCAAGGTTCACATCCCGCTCACTAAGCAACCCTTAGTTGGAAAGTAAAGGCCTTGTTTCTGAAATTTGAGGAAAAATCCCCAGGCTGAATGCCAGCACCTGAAGCTGGGTGTGGGGGTTGGTCTTCCCTGAACAACATGGAGGCACAGTGGGGGAGGGGCTCCCCCAAAGGAGCACCGGGGCAGTTTCCAGAGAAAGGAGGTAGATGCCGGACCAGCAAAACCAACAGATACTTACTTCACAGTGGCTTTGGAGAGAGAGTGCAGGGGTCTGGGAGCCTCTGGGGTGTCCTTGGCCGAGATCCTTCCCATCCGGGATGACTGAGGCTCATGGTTGAGGAGAGCCCCTTTCTGTATCTCAGTAGAGGGTATGATTTTACCCCCAGCACCTCTATCCAAGGTCACCGGGGTTCAAGGCCAAGGACGAACGGACTCTTGACCTCTGCAGTGGCCACCAGCCCCATGCCAGAGAGGTGGGCATGTTTGAGCATGGCACCTGGCCCCCAGGCTGTGCCTCGCTTCCCCGGGTTCACCCACTGCAGTCTCCTGTCAGACTGGGAAGGGGTCCTGGGGGTCCTCAGTTCACCCAGCTGAGTGACCTGTCACATATAGTTGTCTCTCCTTTCAGCTGCCTCTTGCCCTCTGCCACATGCCATCCGTGGGGACCTAGGTCAGCCTCCCTGCTGGTCCAGCCAGTACCCCCCCAGCCGTCCGTGTCCCCTGGCCCTGTCCCTCCCCCCTCCCCCAGCCCTCCGTGTCCCCTGGCCCTGCCTCTTCCCCCTCCCCCAGCCCTCCGTGTCCCCTGGCCCTGCCCCGACCCCCTCCCCCAGCTGTCCGTGGCTCCTGTCCCTGTCCCTTCTCCCTTCCCTCCAGTTCCCGCTGTTGCTGTGGCGTCTGGCTCCCTTCCACCTGACTGCCTTAAAAGTGGGGCTTGGGCTCGAGCAGTTTCAGTCTTAACAGGTTTAACCTGGAGTCCTAAGTGCTGGGGCACCTTGTTTATGATTCTTTAGAAAAAAGTTTTAATTATGTACTTCTTTTTCATAATAAGTAATAAGTTCTCATGGTTTAAGGTTCAAAAGAGTGTGTAGGGAAAAGTCTCCCTCCATTTCTACTCTCCAGGCACTTGTTCCCCTCCACAGAAGCAACCACTGTCGTCTTGTATATTTTATAGAAATAAACCCAAGAAACTGCATTTCCCAACAAATGCCAATACAGATATCCCCTTTTTCCCATGAATCCCAGGCAAGCAACATACACCGTGGTAGTCCTCACTGCCTTCACTGACCGTGTTCCTCTGGAGGGAATTATCTGTCAGCTCATAAAAACTTCCACACTCCTTTTCAGCTGCTGACAGAATGACCGTCATTTATAAGGCTGTAGAGGGTCTGGTCGAGTCTTGACCCCAGCTTTCTGATTGTTATTATAAGCAGTGCTGCAGGACTAACGTGCCAGGCGAGCCTTTCGCATACCCGGGGGCAGCTGAATCTGGCAGCGGTTACAGGAGGCCGAATGACTGCCGCCAGGGTGTCCGCGCAGCAGAGTTACACTGGCAACAGCAGGGGTTCGAGAGGTCTGTTTCTTCAGTCTTGCCACCTGGAAGCTTTCTTTTTTTTTTTTTTAATCTCTTTACTTTGAACTAAGTTTAGATTTACAGAGAAGTTGTAAAAACAGAACAGAGAGTTCCTGCATACTTTCACTCCGCTGCCCCCGATGACAGCATCGTATATAAACCTGGCACGAAGAACAAACCCAGGAAATGAGCAGGGGCCGCCGCTGCTCGTGCAGCTGCAGTCCTCATTCACACTGTACCGGTTTTTCCACCCATGTCCTTTTTCTGTCCCAGGATCTTACCCACGTTGCATTTAGTCATCATGTCTCTTTAGTCCCCAAGAATCTGTGACAGTTTCTCGGTCTTTGTCTTTCTTTCATGACCTTGACCCTTCTGAAGGTTACTTCTTTTGCAGACTGTCCTTCAATTTGAGTTTGTCTGATGCTTTCTCTTGATTGGAAAGAGATTTTGCATTTTTGGCAAGAATACCACAGAAAAGATGTATCCTTCTCAGTGGACCCCGTCAGGGGGTTCCTGACATCGAAAGGTCTTATTTCTGGTCGTACTGGCCTTGGCCACGAGTCTTTGGTGGTGTCTGTTAGGTGCGTCCATTCTGAAGCTACTGTTTTCCCCTTTGTAGTTCACAAATATCTTGTAGAAGACACTTTGAGACTCTGTGTGTATCTGTTTCTTTCAAACTTTTGCCACTCATTTTAGCATTCAGGGGGGATCTTGTCTGCAGCCCTTGTGGTTAACAGTGGTTGCCTGACGGTGATTCTCTCTTTCTTCCTGTCCTTCTCCACGTCGTAATTGAAAGGTTACTTACTGTCTGAAGACTGATCCTGTCTTCTTGCGAGTTGTTTTACCACTCATTCTACTGATGAGGGAAACGGGGTTCATGGAGGAAGTGGATTGGGTCTGAATCTGGCCCCGCCTGTCTCCAGGCTGTGGTCTTGGAGTCACAGGAGGAAAGAGGACCCTCTGGGGATTGTTAACTGGGACCTTGCCTCCCAGCCTTTTCGCAGCACATCCCAGTATATTTTCTGTCATCTTGCCGACTAGATGAAAGCTTTTAAGTTTTGAGAGTCAGTGGCCGCTGCCTGGGCGTAATTATAACAACAATGGCTGCTCTGTACTGAAATCTTCCGATGGAGCCAGGCATAGTCTTTTGGATCTCACACATGCTCTTGGTAAGGATTATTAAACCCATCTCATAAAGGAGGAAACTGAGGCTGGAGAGGGAGCACAGTAGGGACTTCAGCCTGGCATGCCCTGAAGCCTGTCTTAACCAGCAGGTTCTCCTGCAGGAGGGAGCCTGAGGGAGTGATGGCACCTTCATCTCTGGCCACTGCGGGGAGTTAGAGACCCGGTGACTCTTAAGGCCCCTATTCTTGGAGCCTTTCCTTAGCATTGCCCCAGTTCTGCCTCGGCTCCTCGGGAAGACGGGAAGAGATTTCTCTCCCGTGCTGAGTCCCAGCTAGGGCCAAGACAGCTGCTTAGTTCAGCTGTTGCATTCAAGGCCTCTTTCCAAGGTCACGCCATGGGAACCTGTGACCCATAACTTCTAAGACTCCCTAGGTGAATACCAAATCCTCAGAAGTGAAATGCCTGGGAGGAAAGTCTGGGGGGTCGGGGGCAGGGGAGGATGCTTCCCAGGGCCTGGATGTTCTTCCTGTTGTATTTCCTGTGGTTGTCATATTCTAACTTGGCATTGCCTTGCGGATTACCAGGAACCCCTTCTCAGTTGAGCAGCACCTCTGGGGACCTTGATGGAGGAAGGGGCAGCAGAGCTCACAGCAGTTCCACATGCTGTCCTTGGGCACCAAGGCCATAATGCCACAGCATCTCCAGGCCTCCCCTTGGGTCACCAGCATGTCACTGGGGAGTCAGAAACAGCCCAGCCTGGGCCTGGAGAGAGCTGGGAGGCAGGGTTCCCAGGCTGGGGCTGCCTTGGGACCCGTCCCCTCCTCACTTTAGTTCAGCTTTTATCTCCCTTCTGGGAGCTGCCCCTTATCTCCCCTGGGTTCATCCGTTCACCAGGCTAGAGCCCACTACTGTTCCTTCCTGGCTGGCTTAGTCTATCCTGTTCTGTTTTATTCTCTTCTGTTTTATTTTGCATGGCTTTATGAGGTAGAATTGACATACAATAAGCTGAACATATTTAAAGTATACAATCTGGTGTTTTAATAGACACGTACAGCTGTGAAACCCTCACCATGACCTGGAGAGTGAACATATCCACCGCCTCCAGGGTATCCTTGGGCCCCTCGGAAGCCCAGTGCCTCCCCCACCCATGCCCCCCCCCACCACTTTGCAATTGCCAGTAACTGCCTGCTAGAGACTAGTTTGCATTTTCTAGGATTTATTTCTTTTTCATACCTAATTGCTCTGGCTAGACTTCCAATATATAAAATAAAATACTAAAATAATAA